CACGAAAATAAACCTTTTGTTTGTGGTCAGGGAAGCAAAAGTGTTACACTTTATGACTCTCAAGTTAAAAATCTACCTGAAAAAGAGCAGCTTTAATAAATCTGTGCATCCACTCCTCCCACCCATGCAGGTCAGAAGTGCACACCCAGGTAGGGATCACTGGCCTGAACAAACTAAGAATCTACAGAGACTTATTTATAACAAATGAAGGGAAATGGATAACCAGTTCTATCAGCGTGACGCAAAACCAACATCAAACAAATATTGTTGCTCCTCAAAGGAAAATTTCAGAATTTCAACGGGATCAGTTTTCACGACCTGTTTGTTTAACCCATGGACCACACAGTAATCACTCATGGATTTGTGGGACATGACAGCGTGTCTTCAGTGGGCTGCTGCAGGAACCCCCCAGCTGCTCGTTGATTTATAAGCAAAGCCAGATTCTTGCGAGCAGCCTGGGAGGAAGAAAGTATGTGTGAAATATTAAATGACTGTCCATTCAGTCAGAGACATGAAATCTTCTCCAGATGAGTCTTCTCACTCAGCACAACACACAGTTTAGTTTCCATAGTGTCGTGTGTGACATTAAAACCAACACACGTTTGAAGGTGTTTTTTTTGTTGTTGTTGTTTTATTGTCTTTCTGTTCTTTATTAATTCAACCTGACAGATGTCTCTGTAGTGACATTCTGTAACGTGCACACACCCTCCTCAGACCTCAGCTGTCATACTGATTTTAACTGTGCGCACATGTGTTTGCATTTTACTTGAATAAACAGCAACAATGGAAAACAAATTGTTTGTTATCTATCCATCAATTATCTTCTGCTTGTTCTGGAGTCAGGTCGTGGGGGCAGCAGCTTGAGCAGGGAGGCCCAGGCATCTCTCTCCACAGCCTCTTCCAGCTCTTCTGACTTCAGGCGAACATAAAAACAGACTGATTGAGAGCTTCACCTCTCAGCTCAGCTCCCTCTTCACCACCATCCACACGGAGCACGTAATATTTCTGAAACTCTGTTGATCTTATCCTCCATTTGGAAATTTGCAGGTGCTGGTCCTCATCCTAGCTGCTTCACACTCGGCTGCAATCCGCTCCAGTGAGAGCTGACGCTCACGTCCCAATGACGCCAACATGACCACATCATCTGCAAATAGCAGAGACGGAATCCTGAGGTCACCAAACCGGACCCCCTCTGCCCCCGGACTGCACTGAGAAATTCTGTCCATAAAAGTTATGAACAGAATTATGCCCCTTTTCCATTAGTAACGATACAGCAAGACTTGACTGGACTCGGCACGGTTCCAAGGCTTTTCTATTAGTAACGGTACGTAGAACTGGTCCCTTTATTCAGAACCCTTTTTGTGGTACCAGCTGGGCCGAGCAGGTACCAAAACGTGATGTCAGAACACTGTCGGTCACTGATTGGTCAGGGTGGAGTCACTGGATCTTTCAGAAACTTTTCAAAACATCGATCCGCCATTTGCATTTTCTCAGCACTCGGAGCAGCGGTTGGACCTATTAAAGATTTTAAAAACGATAATGACAACACCGCGGTCTAATGCAGACTTGGGGCTCGGGATCCCGGCCTTGCGTGCTCTGTGGGCTCTGAGCTTTGCTGGTCACCACGGAGGATCATACGAGCTGCTGACTCGCAGAAGGCCGTTTCCCAGACCCCGGTCTTGAGTGCACATGAAGGCTGAACCCAGATCTTGGCAGACAGTCTGAAGCACGGAGGGTGGAAACGATTTTTAAAAACATTTTATTTGAAGTATTTTTTTTAATCAGTGAAGATTTTAAAAAAATAAATAAACAGTGCCGGCTTTATCATGAAATCATGTTTTCACTTTAATGACTATTAAATATTCTGTTACAGTTTACTCAGCTGAAAAATTATAAAAAGACACAAAATTATTAGATCTCTCAGGAATATTTCCCTGAAATATGTTTAAAGAAGAGATGCAGCCGTTAGTTCAACTTTATTATAACACACAGATGTACAAATCACAAAACAAGAATTAAACTTTAAAGCAAAGCTAAAAATAATAAAAAATATATGTATACAAGAAACAAAACATATCTAAATTGAACAATAAATGTAGACACAATGAGTGCAAATACATCAAATGACGAAGAAAACATAAAAATTTTAAATATAGTTGTTTTTGCAGAGGGCAGCACGGTGGCACAACTGGTAGAGCTGCTGCCTCTCAGCGAGCAGGTCCCTGGTTCAAACCCCAGTCCAGGGTCCTTTCTGGGTGGAGTTTGCATGTTCTCTCCGTGCATGCATGGGTTTTCTCCGGGTACTCCGGTTTCCTCCCACAGACCAAAAACATGCATGTTAGACTGATTGGTAACTCTAAATTGTCCATAATTGTGAATGAGAATGGTTGTTTGTCTCTATGTGTCCCTGTGATGGACTTGTGACCTGTCCAGGGTGTACCCTGCCCCTCGCACAGTGATTGCTGGACATGGGCCCCTGCGACCCCCGTGACCTAAAATGGAAGAAGCGGGTAAAAGATGATGGATG